TCCACACTTTGCCCTGTCAGGCCGATACTCCAGAGAATACTTCAACCGAAGAGGTAAGAGCTCAACAAACACTATTCCACCAAAAAATACAAATCTGGATGTTTAAATTACAGGAGAATGTCAGGGTGAATCTGATGAAGCACATGCCCACACTTTCCCCTCAAAATCCAAAGAAAAAAAGGTTTGCATGAAGAGCATGTGTTTATGGCCCATTAAGATAAGATTTAGTCATCAGGTCATAGTCAAACCCCAGAACATCGTGACGTGCTGGTTCATTCGCGCAGTGCTTATTCTGAAAAGGTTTTCCACAGACGTGTGATGAATAGTCAGGATATTATTAGCTCAGAACATCTATATGTGTATATATATATATATATATATATATATATATGTATGTATGTATATATATGTATATATATGTGTATATATATAAAAAAAATGTGCTTTCTAAATTTCCTTACCTGGATTCACAACTTTCCTTCACACAGTACTGGACTAATTCACTTTCATAGAAAACAGGCCACCTTGACATTAGCACTTTGTTGCGTCCTTGAATTTGCATGAGAGTGTTTTGACTGAGTGTTTGCATGTGTATGTAGGTGAGCTGAGGCACATCTCCAACCTGAAGCCGTGGGGGCTGTTCGAGGTGCTGCTGGAGAAGTATGAGTGGCCACTGGATCAAGCAGCCCAATTCAGCGACTTCCTGCTCATCATGCTCGAGTTCATCCCAGAGAACCGCGCCACAGCTGCCGAGTGTCTACAGCACCCCTGGATCAATTCCTAACCCGCTCTGTTTTCCTTGTATTCACTGCGTTTGTGCGGTCTGTCATTTTGGTCCGTCTGATCACTTGGTGCACACATCCACCTTTCAGAGCATAAACTCACTGCTAAGGTAAAACATACTGGAGATACAGAATCTGAGCACAGACCTAGGTAGAACCTCAAAACTGTTGTTTTTTTATATATATGTATATTTAAAGAAGCTTTGATCTCTGAACATGATGCAGATATGTCTGTAGTCTGACGAGTTTTCATTGTACGGTCATTTAATTGTTTAGAAGGGTCACATATTTATGTTAAAATAGTGCCTTGACATGCCATCTGCAAAAAAACAAAAACCGAAAAAAAAGCCCCTCACCTTTTTGTATTTGTCTGCGAATATGTGTGAGGAATGCTTGTTTGTGAACATACAGAACACTGTATGAATACTTGACTTGAATTCAATAAAGACTTGAGCTTAAACCCTGTGTACCGAAGAATAAAGGATCACTTACAAACACAGATGGCATAATGGAGTATTTTTTTAATAATCCTGATGTGGTCGCCATAACATACTGTAACAATGGAGCATGTTTAAACATTGTAAATAATAATCAAACATGACAAAAACTATGAAAACTCTGGCAGTTTATTGTTCCAAACATGCATGATGTTTTATTTTTCTTCCACTGACTAGTTTAGCATATCCTTATGCTATTTTTTGAAAAACCTCAAAACACTAAATAGTTGTAAAATCCAGCACTGCATTTTACTGTTGCTGTGATACTGTAGTGACACAAGAGGGCGATAAAGGGCCATTGCAGGCATTAACCTACAAGATATAAATAAGGGTTACAGGAAGTCAAAGAGAGAATCAGTGTCACGGTTAGACCATAAAAATGTATATACATATTTGTATATGCATGAAAGACCAGACCAGTTACAAAGCATACACAAATGAATTTCCTTAGATTTTGTGTTGAAAGAAACCCATGAAAGAGGACCAGTGAGGTAATCTATCCGTGTTTTAACATCAGTCAGATGCCCCATTCTGTGGGTTTGTTGCGGTTGCAAATGCAGAAGTATCCAGAGCTGGAGAGACAGAGAAGCCCTTAAAAAGTCTTTTAGATTAAGAAATTCATCAGTCTTAATACTGCAAGTTCAGTCACTTTTTCCTGCGTACAACCGTCCAGCCATCATCCTCTTCCTCGTGACTGGCAGCCTGAGGAGGAAGATGCTGCTCCTTCACTGCTGCACCGTTGACTGAAGCTCCGTCTGCCCCTCCGTCACACTCCATAGCCTGAGAAAAACAACCAGAGAGAATTCATAAAGGGGACATTTGCATCTAATACTGCATGATATAATTCATAAATAACATGCCAACCAGTACCAAACATTTTATACCATTAATTAAGCACGAAAAAAAAAACGAAATATATTTACATTTATTTATATTTTTATGTATTATTGATTTTTATATATTACACTGAATTTAAAAATATTTTTAAAATGTTATACACACGCACACATATATAAATAATTATGTGTATATATATATATATATATATATATATATAAAGTATATATTATAGTATATTATATAGAAATTATGTAAATATTTAAAATATAATAAAATCACAAATATATATTAAAAAATATATAAATATAAAAATAAGTTTAAATTAAATGTTTTTAAATAAGTTTATATATATTAAATGTATAAATTACACAGAAATATTACATTTACTTAAAATGTTAAATATAAATATTTAAACATATTCATAATAACATGCCAAGTACCAAATATTTTGTACCATTAACTGATTCTTTTTTTATTATTTATTTTTTATATATCATATATAAATGTGTACTTAAAATATTAAAAATATTTAAAAAATGACACACACATACATACATACACATATACATTATATATATATATATATACACATACAGTAGTCAACATTTGAATTGGATCAAAAAAGTTCATCAAAGTTGTCCAAAGTCAAGAATGCATTTTGGTTTTATTTTAACTTTGATGAAAGGTTTTGATCCACTTCAAATGTTGACTAGTGTATACCTCTTCATCTTGACTCTCATCATCATCATCATCAGCAGCAGCAGCAGGTGTTTTGGCAGGTGTGGCCTTCGCTCTCCCAGCGCTCTTCTTCTGAATCAGCTGCTTGATCTGCTCTCTGACCTCCGTCAGTCTGTCCTGCTGACACTGCTGGAACATCTCACACACCTGCTGCGCCACCTGAGGGACAGTTTCACACACACACACACACACACACACACACACACACACACACACACATATTCAGACACAGCTCGCCAAGCACAGCTTCAACTAATATCTGTTCAAAAACAAAGCAAACCTGCGGCAAGCTGCCATCATCCACCACCGTGTCAAACTCATTGTTCATCAGGTCTGAGATGAAATCCTCCACTTCATCCTGCTGCAGCTCATCTGTGAGGAGAGGCACACACAGACGGGTTTGCTGAGACATCAGAAGATCTACAAAGCGTTAGTGAAATGATTTGCCAGCTCTGACCGTTGTCGATGAAATACAGCCGCAGCGCGTCCACCATCCACTCCGCTTTCTGCTGACTGTACGTGCCACTGAAATCATTATCGACCGCGATCTGTGAGGAAACACAGTCCTCAATCCATTCCAGCTACAAAGCACTAGTTAGTGCAACTGCTGAAGATCAGCTCGAGCTGCGCATCATCACAATTCCTGTGCAACTAGACGAAATATCGTGTCAAGGCATAAGACTGCACTTTAAGAGTCGCATGTATGTTTATTGTATATTAACGTCATGTTTATACTTGACAACGCTAACTTGCTAAGCTGGTAGCAGTCTGGTTTCTGAATTCGAAAATGAGGATCAAACGAAAGCTTGCTTAAGAAATATGACAGTATTCTACGAAATATATATTTTTCGGAATATAATGTTATACACTGACTAACTTGCAGCACCGGCCACGTTTCCAAAACAGCCCGGACTGCTTCAGTGAACAATTCACGTGTGGAAGATGCGAGCGGCGCCATCTTGAAAACCAACAGACCTGAAGAGTCGATCACAGATTTCAGAGGGAACGCTGGCTGAAGATGCACCAGGCAAAATAGTCAATCACAGAAACCGCACAAACACAACTGACTTGACTTGATTACTTATTAACTTGATTTTTAGTGAAGGTTACCTCAATGCATCAAAAACCCTTGCAAAACCCATGGAAATGTTATAGTTAAAATTGTATAGATTTTTATGTATTTTTTCCAATCTTTTGGATAAGTTTGCTCATCACCCAAGAAAGAGGACCTGGTACAAATTATTATTCAGAAATGTATTTTTTTATATATATTATATATTTGATCCAATGTAAATTTTATATATATATATATATATATATATATATATCAAAAGTGACTAAGTTACAAGTTATAATCATTATATATATATATAGTGATTATAACTTGTAACATATATAGTCACTTTTGAACAAATTAACTGAATATTAAATATTTCTAAAATTAAGTAACAATAAATACTGAATATTAATTTCATATATGTGAAATTAATAATGTATATATATCAAATATACACTATAAATACTTAAAATATTCAGCAATGATGCATTAAATTGATCAAAAGGGACTACGTTATAATCACAATATATAGTGATTAGAACTTAATTTTATAAAAACATTTTTAAAATTAGCTTGTATATACTCATAGAAGATAGATACAACTTATTATTCAGAAATGTACATACCTTTATTGAACAGTATATCTTTGATACACTAAATGAACAGAATTATATAACATTTTTAAAGATGTGTGTGGAAATAGTGGGGTTATAAGCATGTGGTTTTTATCATAACAGTAATTCTCTGCAGTAAAACTGGCTCGGTAAGAAACACAAAGCAGGGTGTCAGCATTATAACATTCCTTGGAAAAATGAAACACCAACCCATGCAAGGCTTCGGATAACTTTGGCATTGACCAATAGCAAAAGCGCAAAAGCAGTCGACAAACCAAGCTGCTGTATTATACATGTTGAGGCGCATATTTACTTCTCAGAAATCTTGAAATGAAAAAGAACTGCATTGATTTATATCAAGGAACACATATCAAGTTTGAAATCTTCATTTTAAATATATAGCTGCTAAAAATGTCACAAAAATATTGTCAGCGTGTGATGGATGGACATTATGGATTTGAAATACTTCAGCTTCATTCTGGTGTGGTCACTGTGAGCCATGTGTGTATGAAATCATAAATCTATGATTTCCTTCAAGGATAACACTGTTAAAAATATAAACCTTCCTCAAACTTGTTTTATATGTGAATGTTCATGCTGATGGGTCATATTTCATGAGTTTGGTGCATGCCATTTGTGTCAAATGTTGACAATGCAAACAAAATTGTCATACCAAAAACTGTACTATTTTTTAATTGATTCAAAAAAAGGCACATTTCAATGTTGCTCCAAAACCACATTTGATAAAACCTCTTGGATTTGCACATGAATCTTCTAGAGCAGTGGTTCTCAATTCCAGTCCTCGTGATCACTTCACATCTCTTATCACTTCAGATGTTTGTTCTATTCGACCATAAGTGCCCTGCCAAGTGGACATCACAGGATATTCCACCATGATTCCAGTTCAAAGGGAGCGTATATGTTCCATTCAAACAAAGTGCACAAGACCTGAATTTAAAGGTCCCCTGAAATGCTTAGAAACACGCAGCGTTACTCTGTGTTGACGTCATTTTAACTGAAACAGGAAGACTGGGCGGGACATATCAAGCAGCCCCGCCCCTTTTTTTAAATAGCCAATAGCGTTCGTTTATATCACAGCTTGGGCTAGAGCCGTTGAGCTCCGTAAAGCCGCATTTGACAGCCACAATCTCATCCATATTGCTATAAAATATAGCATTCTGTGTAGAATTCAAATAGCTCCGATACATTTTGTGATCTGCGCCGACTCGCGCATGTGATCCGCTCCATGCTATCCTGTCTCTGGACCGGAGCAGAGTGTGTGTGCGGTGCGGTGGTTAGCTTGCTAACACCCAACAAACTTTACTTTTGATTTCATGGGGACTTTAAGTATTTTATTTACAGAGGTATATTATGTCACATTTCACTCTTCTCTAGTAAGTTTCGTCTGTGTGTGAAGAAGCTGCAGGCAGTGGCATAGCACAAATCCATGAATGAATGTTCCGAAGTGGAGTGAACTTCAACAGATTTCCCGTGCTCAGAAGGGAGCAATGAACACTGTGTAGGGACCATGTCAATCGGAACACAGTTCATGCATGGAGCTCTTTTCTAACAAGTCAGGTGTGTTAAACAAGAGAGACGTGCATAAATGCAGAGCTGTGGTACGTGAGTTCTAGAATTGAGAACCACTTTTGTAGAGTTTACTGACTCATTCAGTGTCTGAATACATAAACCTCATGCATAAACCCAATCAACATTAAGCCATCTTCAGTAGTGGAATATGAATGAGACCAGCTGCAGGTGACACATAAATTGAGATTTTCAAAAAATGTTCAAATCAATTTTTCTGGTTGATTTGGGTTTATGTATATATTGGGAATTATTTTTTAATATGTAATGAACATGCAAACGTATAAATATATAATATTATCACCCTTACATATGAGTTACCCGAATGTTCTTAAACTTAAAATAGAACAAAATTCAAAGTTTGAGACACCGATTATATTGCCAGCAAATATTATTCACATTTGTTCTGCTCAACCTGAATGTTTTACAGCTTGTTCGTGCCAATATTCAAATGAGTCCACTTCCTTCTTTATAATTAACAGAGATGGACCAAGTTGGTTGGAAATGAGTTCAGCATTCATACAAGCAACAGGAAGTAACAGTCAGCCATATTTGTGTACTGTAAGATTTTCCATGTCAACATACTTCTGATCCACATATTCTTGGGTGTAAAGATAGACTATTGCAAATGCAAGAACTCAAAGATTAAAAACAAAAGAACAGGAAAAGGCATTGCATCAAACATTTTGCAACCGTTCTTCGTGGTTAACATCCCTAGTCTCGAACAGAACAAGTGACCGCTCATATATGCATAATTATTTAATCGGAAAATATACTATGGCCATCTGAGAGGATTTCCTGCATTAGATATCCATGAGACGTGAAATGTACATTAACAGTGAGTATTGCTTAATGTGTTTAAACCACTTTTAACATAATAGAACAGCAGACCGCATCACTCCCTTCTTGCCTTCACACATGGACAAACGCCAACTGAAGAAGAGCAGTAAAATGGCTGAAAATCCAGAAACTTTGGGCTTTTTAAGAGGACACAATTGCAAAATAAAATAAAAAATCAAGAGAAAATAATACTGTATTGATTAATGATCAAGTTTTGTTTAGCATAAAATGCCCATTCTAAAAGATCGAGTTGTACAAAAGAAACATACTGAAAACTGTATGAAGTCCATATTTGCTCAAAGTGTCTCCATGTATAAAAGCATTTCACCTGCAATCATATCATAACCTAACTTATTAAATCCCAAAAACAGCCTTGAGTTTTTGCATGACAGTTTCTGGCATTATTTTATATTTAATGACATGCAATGCATGGCAAAATCAGAACCAAATTTATTTTAAATCAGAAGGGTTTTGGGTTTAAAAAAAACTATTGCGTAGATTAGCAATTATTGCGCAGTAATTAACTGTTGGCTTCCTCACAACCACGTTTATCTATTGAAGCCCTTTCACCATAATCCATCCTCATTCCAGATAAAAGCTTTAAAGAATATGAGCCGTTTTCATCTAACAAACATCAAAACCAAATATCTACACTACATGAGTCTCCTATGGTAGTAACGTTTGGTTACAACATATTATTAAAAAAGCCTTGTTCAAGCCAATGTCATCAATGATAAGTATAACAAAAATGATATTCTTCTTTGCTTTAAAAATGATACATTGTTAGGAGGATCTTCTCATTGCACTCTCCATGCTTCTGATCTGCAAAAAAACATTCTAAGGCTATTTACAAAGTACCACAGTCTTCAACTATACAACACTGCCATGCAAGTCTGCATTCCCCTCGTCAAGAGCGTCTCACTCACACACACATATTCACAGGTCATCTCCAACAGTGACAAAGGGAAGTCACAATCTATCACCAGACCAAACGTTTTGGGATTGCTTGAATTAATTCAAAAAATTATATATTTACTAAAATATCATCCATCTAGTAACACCGATGGAAACTGAGAACAAGTCTTAATCGCCTCTGCATTCAGCTCTAATGGGGTGAATCTTGCAAAAAAACAAACAAATAGTCACATTTCACCCTGAAATAAAAGAGACAATAAAAAGAAATTATATTTTACATTAAAATAAATGAAGCTTATTTTTTAGGATCTTTTTTCTTTTGCATAGTGACATTATATTTTCAACATTTTTTAATAATTATTATTTGACAATTAATCACATCCCCACTACTATAATGCACTTTGAAGTTTTCATATTTCTCATAATACAGTAAATTCTGTATTACAGGAACAAGTTATTATGAAATGATTCATACCAGCAAAGACAGTATAACAAATATTTCCTTATAAATATTATTTGAAAAAACACAATATATTAAATACACTGTATTTTAATATTTTACAAAAGTTTTATACATTTTTTTAATTATTAATACATGAGCAAAAATTTGGGGACTAATTGCTGTTGAAAATGTTACAATGCAAAATAATAATTTTGTAAAAATCCTAAAAATAGGCTTTTTTTTTTTTTTAATAAAATGTATTACTTCTCTCTTAATTTCAGGGTAATATATCACCTAGACTCTTTTTTCCCCAGACATTCACCCAATAATCACATTTGTGGGACAGTATTATTGTAGACTTTGTGCAGAGATGCCCTGAATCGTACACGCCAGAGGACGGTAGCGTTTTGAATTGAGTGTTACGCGACACCAATAGGCTCCAAAACCTGCGGAGTATGAACAACCGGGCCGACATGCAGAACATTATCCACCGCACTCAGCTGTTCTGCAGAGTGACAGAAACCTGAGCCCTATACACAAGTCGACCAGTTCTCCACATGCGCCCGGGCATCCCATTATGAGTTCTCATCACCCTGACTGAACCGACATAGTAATCAGCTCGGTTTTCAACCAGAGTGACAGCCGTAAGAGCTGCAGTAATGGAAGAATTATCAACAAGGCTTGAACTAGGTATGCGTCGAGATTATCGGAGACTTTCCTCAATGCAACTCAAGCATTATAAGTTGCTTTGCACAAATAATTTGTCCTTGACACAGTGTAGCTGATCGAGGGTTCACTTGAACATTACGATGGAAATGGAAGCTCAAAAGTCAAACCAAAAGGGACAGAGAAACGGCATGGGGGTCTTTGGTGAAACCGTTTTCTAGATGATCAAACTGTATTGCATGGCAAAAAAACATGTAAACAACAACTTAAAAGTGAAATGCTTTTGCAAACAAAAACAGAAGTACAGCATGTCGTCAATGTTCTCATGAATACAAATAACACAGAGTATGGTTGATTATGATGACTGGAGAACCATCGTGTTGGCATAGTACTAAATGTTCGTCTTTGGGCTGATGACACTAATGAAGGGGACCATTTTCTGGAAGACTAGAGTGACTTGGCTTCTGGATATTAACAGCATTCATGACACGTTCCTTCATAAACTGGCCTTCCTTTTACATTACAATTGAGAAGTATTGCAAAGAAAACAGGTTGATTTGTTTCAGTCAAAGGATGAAGAGTCAGGCCATCCAATAACATTCTGCATCTGATTGGTTGAGTACAGCGGCTGGATTGACGCAACCGTGTCAAGAAAGTACAGCAAAACAGGAAGAACATGTTTGTAATGTGAACAGGGAAGGGGAAGTGCATTATTTGAAACAAAGAAAACAATACACAAATCAACATCCTCAGCCTCTCCATGTAAACAACTGCAGTGACCCCTTCTAAACACATAATGCCACAGGACCAGCAAATGACTCAGACGGAGAAATGAAAAACAGATATCCCCTTCATCTTCACGACAGGAAACGTCTCGACGCGTCCTCCCTGTTTATCTTTTCCGTCTTCCCCGTCCCGAGCCGCCCCACGTGCCCTCAGAAGAGCAGACTTTGCCGTTGAGATATGCTGTTGACTGGAGAAAAAGAAAAAGAGGAAGTTTAGGCAAGATAAACGGACAGCGTTCAGTGGCTAAATGGTGCATGCAACATTTTGCACGATAAAACCAAATGCACAACCACTCGTAAGGACCGTCAGAGGGTATAAAGGGTCATAAAAGGAAGAGAGAGAGAAAATCAGCGCTCACTTCACTTAGGGGCCGTTTACACAATGTTTTCAGCCAAAAACGGGAAACTTTTTATGCGTTTTGACTGTTCGTTTACATGACAACAGCATTTTGGGGACTGAAAACGCATATTTTTGAAAACGGGTTTCAAAGTGCAAGTTTTTGAAAACGGCACCGTTATCGTTTCCGTGTAAACACCCAATACGGGAAACGTCATGCATGTGCATAGTACGTGTTAGGTATGTAGACATGCGCAGTACGCGTCGATTTTAAAGGCAAGCGCGAACAAACATACACAACAATGGCGGAGTATATGGTACTGTTGTTGCTGCTCAAGAGTTTGCTAACGCTTCTTCAGCAAAGTGTGGATTTACTTCACCAATATTACTTGGTGAAACCGTTTTCTAGATGATCAAACTGTATTGCATGGCAAAAAAACATGTAAACAACAACTTAAAAGTGAAATGCTTTTGCAAACAAAAACAGAAGTACAGCATGTCGTCAATGTTCTCATGAATACAAATAACACAGAGTATGGTTGATTATGATGACTGGAGAACCATCGTGTTGGCATAGTACTAAATGTTCGTCTTTGGGCTGATGACACTAATGAAGGGGACCATTTTCTGGAAGACTAGAGTGACTTGGCTTCTGGATATTAACAGCATTCATGACACGTTCCTTCATAAACTGGCCTTCCTTTTACATTACAATTGAGAAGTATTGCAAAGAAAACAGGTTGATTTGTTTCAGTCAAAGGATGAAGAGTCAGGCCATCCAATAACATTCTGCATCTGATTGGTTGAGTACAGCGGCTGGATTGACGCAACCGTGTCAAGAAAGTACAGCAAAACAGGAAGAACATGTTTGTAATGTGAACAGGGAAGGGGAAGTGCATTATTTGAAACAAAGAAAACAATACACAAATCAACATCCTCAGCCTCTCCATGTAAACAACTGCAGTGACCCCTTCTAAACACATAATGCCACAGGACCAGCAAATGACTCAGACGGAGAAATGAAAAACAGATATCCCTTCATCTTCACGACAGGAAACGTCTCAATGCGTCCTCCCCGTTTATCTTCCGTCTTCCCTGTCCCGAGTCGCCCCACGTGCCCTCAGAAAAGCAGACTCTGCCGTTGAGATATGCTGTTGACTGGAGAAAAAGAAAAAGAGGAAGTTTAGGCAAGATAAACGGACAGCGTTCAGTGGCTAAATGGTGCATGCAACATTTTGCACGATAAAACCAAATGCACAACCACTCGTAAGGACCGTCAGAGGGTATAAAGGGTCATAAAAGGAAGAGAGAGAGAAAATCAGCGCTCACTTCACTTAGGGGCCGTTTACACAATGTTTTCAGCCAAAAACGGGAAACTTTTTATGCGTTTTGACTGTTCGTTTACATGACAACAGCATTTTGGGGACTGAAAACGCATATTTTTGAAAACGGGTTTCAAAGTGCAAGTTTTTGAAAACGGCACCGTTATCGTTTCCGTGTAAACACCCAATACGGGAAACGTCATGCATGTGCATAGTACGTGTTAGGTATGTAGACATGCGCAGTACGCGTCGATTTTAAAGGCAAGCGCGAACAAACATACACAACAATGGCGGAGTATATGGTACTGTTGTTGCTGCTCAAGAGTTTGCTAACGCTTCTTCAGCAAAGTGTGGATTTACTTCACCAATGTTACAACCACCAGCGGAGACGCATCATATACAACATATAATCGTCACTTCCCTACAGGTACTGTTTACTAACAAGGTGACAGCGCCAACTACTGGCATGGCATACGTAATGCAGCGCTTTTGGCTGTTTTCGCGGATATGTGTAAACGCGAATCGTTTTGAAAACATTGTCGTGTATACGTGAAACTTTTTAAAAACGCAAGGGAAAAATTTAGGCTACGTTTACACGACAACGGTGTAGTCAAAAACGGAAAAATTTTTCCCTTGCGTTTTAAAAAAGTTTCACGTATACACGACAACGTTTTCAAAACGATTCGCCTGTAGATGAATCGACAATATGTGACTATAATCGACTGAAGTGACGACTATATGTTGTATATGATGCGTCTCTGCTGTTGGTTGTAATATTGGTGAAGTAAATCCACACTTTGTTGTTGTATTGTTGTGTATGTTTGTTCGCGCTTGCCTTTAAAATCGACGCGTACTGCGCATGTCTACATACCCAACGCGTACTATGCACGCGCATGACGTCACCGTTTTCAAAGATTCCCGTATTGGGTGTTTACACGGAAACGATAACGGTGCTGTTTTCAAAAACTTGCACTTAGAAACGGTTTTTAAAAATATGCGTTTTCAGTCCCCACAATGCCGTTGTCGTGTAAACGAACAGTCAAAACGCATAAAAAGTTTCCTGTTTTTGGCTGAAAACGTTGTCGTGTAAACGGCCCCTTAGAGAACTGGGCATGAGCGTGGGCTAGATTACTAAACCCAAACACAAGTCAATGTGCAACCAAACACACAGCCTCCCACACATGCTCAGTTTAAAGCTCTAGAGGAGCCTGGGCTGTTTTCTTATTTGGTGAGGGAAGAGGGGTATTCGCACAGCAAGCTCTTCTCTGTTTTCACATTATGGCTTCTCTGCGAAGATGATATACAGTCAAACTTGTGCCCAATGTGCTCCATTTTATTTGACATCAAGCTCAGCGAAAGACCAGCCAAATTCAACACTAAAGTCATCACAGAAAAATGACCCGTTTTACTTTATTTCCCTCTGATTTCCGTCTCTCTCTACACTTTTACTGCTAGTAAACATAGTAGACAGGCAGGAGAGTCTGTTTTATGAAATAATGAATAAACTACATCTCGTATTCTCATCAAGGTATCATTTATTTAACATTAATATTGTGATATTATTGAAATTTAAAAGAACTGTTTTCTATTTAAATATATTTTAAAATGAAATTTACTCCTGTGATCAAAGCTGAATTTTCAGTATCATTACTCCAGTCTTCAGTGTCACATGATCCTTCAGAAATTATTCTAATGCTTATGCTAATGTTTATTTCTAATGCTTATTCTTATGCTGATTTGCTGCTCAAGACACATTTCTTATATTATCAATGTTGAAAACAGTTGTTTAATATTTTTGTGGAAACCATGATACATTATTTTCAGGATTCTTTCATGAATAGAAAGTTCAGAAGAACAGCATTTATTGGAAATAGAAATATTTTGTAACATTATACATGTCTTTACTGTCGTTTTTAAACAATTTAATGCATCCTTGCTGAATAAAAGTATTAATTTCTTTATCATAAAAATAATCTTTTCAAGGATAGTGTATTATTATACAACTATTTCAATCGGATGGCACCAGCCTTTGGCATTTCATCAGTGATTTCAACACGGAGACTTTGAGCGCATGGATTAATATTCATATTTAGCACTGACTTTAGTGCTCTTTATAAACGCTGAATAATTATAAGCTCTGGCAGGCCTTACAGTTTCATCAATTCGTGAACTGAAAACATATGAGGTCTGAGTGGAGGATGAGAATTTTTCAAACCAAATATCACAGGAGAACCTGCCTATGAACATAGACGCTTAACGAGGATGAATGTCTCATTAAATTTTTCTCAGCTGAATTATGTAACCTCAGCCCATTAATTACCGATATTGTTAGATCTCCAAAACATTCTGGGTTTAGTTTATTTTACAATGAACAATAAATAGGAAAATCCCTAATTTTGCAAATGCTTTAACCATTTGCTGAAAACCAACATGGCAACCCTGCTACTGACATGCACATCATGTGGATTACCAAAACGGACAGTGGAAGTTCATGCTCATTTTAATTGTGATGAGCTTATCATATCATACACATAAAAGGAAAAAGGTGACAGATGAGAGGGGTTGATTTCAGTACATTGAACATTTAACCATTCACATAACTGTGAGAATGAAGTCAGTATGGGATCTTTGCTCTAAATCAAGGCCAAAGATAACACTAATGTTTATGTAAGTGTTAATGTATTGCTATAATCTGCTGATGCAATGTATGGTCTGCATGTTCTTATTTATTTCAGTGATGGATGTGACAAATGCTCCTATCATTTTTAATTTCAAGCAGTGCGTGAGTCCATTACATCGAAAAGTCTATCTATGCACTTTGTTCAGAGAGAAAACATGTTTTTGAAATATCCAAGAAATGATTCAGATGTGATTAATTCTTGCAGGGTACAACTGGACAGTACAGACGAACAGGAAACTCAAGGGAAGAAATACGGTTTTGTTGTTTGTGACCTTCTGCCTTGAGAGGAGGGCGACAAACATGTACCTAAGGTATGCCGAAACCTTAAGACATCTTTGCAAAAGCTCTGGAGTGCAGTGAAGCAGTGGTGTAAACCAAAAAAAAGAAGAAAACATCAAAGCACATACAAATAGGCAAGGAGAGAAAAAAGACAGAGAGGCCGTGGGAAAGACAGAGCAGAAAACAAAGTTAGCAGTGAAGGAGCTGCATAATACATGGAGCTTAACAAGAACTTCCTCCTGAGAATGTCTAATGCACAGGCATCATCGCAAGTGTGTCTTAACGAGCCTATACGAGAAATAAACCGAGATGAAGGATACAGCAAGAAAAAAGAAAGAATGAGGGATATGAAGAGATAGAGGGAGAGACAGAGAGAGGAGTAAACCAGTGTCTCCAACTATAGCATGGTGAGGAGAAACTATTAGGAGAGAAGATGAGCAATGCGAGAAGTATTAGAGAGCACAGAAAATGAGCGGTGTCATGATGAGCAATAGAGTTCATCTCTCATTTGATGAACATTAATAATATTCAGGAGGAATATGACTGGGATCAGTGTGCTCAACTAAGTGAAATAATACTATAGGCTCAGCCTCATTCGAATCATCTAATGTATACTGCATACAAAAATATAGCAAGAACTGGCTGAAAACATCAGTCTCTATCTGATTGGCTGGCTTTATGAAATTCTTTTTTTGCGATCCTTTTTTTTTGTATCCATTTCCTTTTTCTAATTCAGTGATTCGTTGTACTGAGTAAATACAGCTGGATAAAACAAAAACTGTGTCCATCTTCATTTCAGGCTGCAAAGCAACAGAATGTGATTATTTTAAAGGGGGGTGATTCTTTTCTATACCCACTGTACAAGTGAAATCCTTCATTCCAATACTTCAGTTGGTGCCATTTCATAATTCTAATGACTTTACTATTATTCTAAAACGTTGAAAGTAAAAATAATGAAAATGTAGGTGTGTCCAAATATTTAACTAGTAGTGTCAGTCTGCCAGAAAGCAAATATACAGCTGCTAAAATCATTGCTAGGAAGAACTAGTCAAAGGTATGACAAAAATAGCAATGTTAATGTTAATGTTTTGTTTGAGACAAAAAAGAAAAGAAAATATTCTTGAGCAAATATTCTTTTGTCTGATTTCAGATTTATCTTCCAGAATTACATTAAAAAGTCACACAAAAACGCGGTTGGTCACTTTATAGCCCGTCTCTGGAAAGTTCTTGGCCAGATTGAGATGAATGTCAGCCAGATTTTCACAAGACTATATCAATTCTGACTGTTTGAGAGTAATGGCAGCTGACGTGCTGCCATACACAGAGAGGTCAGAAACGCACAATACACTGATGGAAAAAGCTCAAAACTATCATCATGAATCTTCATTCATTGGCCATTTGCGTTTTGTGGTTTTACCGGATTCTGACAGGGAATTCGTCCTCATTCCAGGCTCCTTCTCCAGCTGAATTTCTTGAAGTGCAAATATTGATGTAGCTGGCAGGGAGAAATTGAACAATTATGTTAACATGCTGAACTAAAACTAGGGCTGATATATAACATAAAGGGTCAGAGAATTTGTGCAAGATTATTTCAGCACACACCAACTTTCAGTGCAAACACAGAATAGCTCACAGCGGCACGGTGGAATTAAATGTCTTTCAAAGTAAAGTGTGTGTATGTGTGAGACTTCTGTCTGGCACTTTAATAATTCTATCTCTCAGTGTGAGGTGTGTGTGCACGCGTGCATCGGTTATCTGGCACTATCATAAATCTCCTCGGTGGAAGGAGATGTGTGTGTGTGAACTCACTGTCTGGCAGTGTGAGAATTCTCTCTCCCAGGCAGTGGAAGTATTGGTGTCTCATGGCTTCCTCTGCTGCGATCCGTTTCTTCCCCTCAAACTGAAACAAAGTTCAGTGTTAGTCAAGCACACATGGAAAACACTCACTAACCAACTAACTAAAAACACAATATTATTATACACTATTATTCAAAAGTTTGGGGTAGTAATACATTTTTTTAAGTATTTAAAATTAATATTTTAAATATTTTTTTCAGCAGGGATGCATTAAATGAATCAAAAGTGACAGTGAAAGACATTTATGAGACATTGTTACAACAGATTTCCATTTCAAATAAATGCTGTTAGAACTTTCTATTCATCAAAGATTCCAGAAAAAAGTGATATCACTTTCCACAAAAATATTAAGCAGCACAACTCTTTTCAACATTGATAATAATAAGAAATGTTTCAAATCAGCATATTAGAATGATTTCTGAAAGAGCATGTGAAAGTGAAGACTGGAATAATGATGCTGAATATTCAGCTTTGCATAAAAGGAATAAATTACATTTGAACATATATTCAAATGGAAAACAGTTATTTTAAATTGTAAAAATATAAAACATAATATTAGTGTTTGTACTGTATTTTTGATCAAATAAACACAGCTTAATTTCACAACTCAAAACTTTTGAACTGCAGTACATAAGGCAAGTTACCAAAACACACATTTTTATAATTCAACATGAAATTATAATGGTAGCCTAACAACGTTAATAGCTATTTGGTTGCTGAATAAAACTATAAAATTTATGAAAAGTTGTTTCAGATGGTGCAAATAACTATTACAAAGAAAACCACAAAGACAAAGAATTTTTTTTGTTATAGCACACACTGATGAATTAACCAGCAACGTGTGCTGAAGTGAATTTAGATTTTTGACCTAAAGAAACCTGTCACCTGAGCAGCATTATTTATTACTGTATACAGACAAATAAATATTCAGACAGCTGAACTCTGGAAAGAGAACAGCCATATATAAAAGTGTCACTTTTCAAAGTCATTATTAAAATACTTCCTCTTATCCCTGCCTAATGAGGATATCATACTGTAAGCAATGCTTACATAGGAGTGATTTCCAGAAAAGTGCAAATTCTATGGCTCAAACACAAGCATCCCAACCAGTGGGTTCTTGCGTTTGAGGTGGGACCATCTTCAACTTTAACATTTCTATTTAAATTAAACTGACTTGAGCTGAATAATGACACTGTTGCTTTCTGTAGAGCTGCTTAATGACACTAATAATGACACTACTGTCCTTTTTTCAGCTGCTTTAGAGCAGAATTTGTCTCATATTTGAAGTTTACATCATTGCTTCTGTTATTTTTAACCTGTGAAGCTGCTTTGAAACAGTTTGTATTATATAGAGCGCTATTTAAGTAAAGGTGACTTTAGTGGACTAAATAATACACAAATCACCTGCAGCAGTTTCGACAGAAGTTCAACTCCATCATTGTCCAATCTGCAAGAAAAAAATAATGCACTTCAGTAAATGACCTCCAACAGCATGTCGTTTTTTTACAGCAGGAGCGGTGATTGTTTCAGGCATCAGGCCCAGAGGACAGCTGTCGTTACCGTGGAGTGTGATTGTGGAGACAGTCGGCGCGGTAACGGGGGTAGTTATAGGAGATGAACTCCTCGTTGGAGGTTATTCCGGGCCAGGTCTCCTCTGTGGGCGTACCTATGAAAAGACACTGCAGGGTTTATAAATATCACAGTGACACACGGAGACAAACTGTCAGATCTAGAGCCAGAAAGAGCAGAGTGGGAGAGAAGGAGAGAGTGGGTGAGAGAGCGGTACCGAGCAGTTTGAAGATAAAGTGCAGCTCCTCCTCCACCGTGGAGCCCGGGAACAAGGGTCGACCTGTAGACATCTCGTAGAAGATACAGCCAACACCCCTGCAATGAGAGTCATTAAAACTCAATTCAAGTTCACCCCCACAGAAGCTATGACATAAGAGTGTGCGCCAATTTTACCACAGTAAAAACAAGAGTCTAATTATTAGCTCACTATTTGAATCGACAGCACCATGGTACAAGAAATAATTTTACAGAGGTGAGAGCTTGCAATCAGAACCGAATAAACAAGGTAGAAGTGTTTACAGAAAAAAAAGTATTTTTAATTGCAACATGTTACTTTATTATTATTTGCATACTATTATAAAATGTATTAATACTTTGAATTTTCATTTTTTATGCACTTGTCATTTTTATTAGTTTTTAATATTTCTATTTAGATTTCATTCATTTTTATTTCAGTTGTAGTTTTAGTAATTTTAGTACTTCAGCTTAAACATATTTCAGTTACTCGCCAAAGCAAAGTATCTAATTTTTTCATGGAAAATTCATTTTGCTATTGCCGCCATGCATGTCATGTGTTAGATGGATGCCTTTGGCCATTGCATCATGTCTTATGCATTCTTCAAAAGCTGTGTCAAGTTAAAAGAAGTTCAAAACCATGTCTTTGACATCTGCTGCACTACGTCTAGCTGCTTCTGAATGCAAGAACGCATGCTGTAACACATGCCGCACATGGCAGCAAAATCAATATAAAACCCCCCTGAATTTTCAATTTAAAAAAATAAAATAAAAAATAATAGCAATTCAGTTAAAAACAAAATATAACTAGTGTTAATCAGCAGTGTTGTTAACTAAAACTACAACTATTAAAAACAGTTTTTGGTAATTAAAATAGAGTTAAAATAGAATACTCTATAGATAAAAACTTCAGCTCAAAATACTTAGATGGAAACTAGAAATGTTGCCTTGGCAACTAATTAAAAAAAAGTCTAAGTTGAAGTACTAAAACTACTACAACTAAAACCTGAAATAAAAAAATGTATTAAAGCTATATTGAAATATTAAAAGAAATTAAAATGACAAAGCACTTAGCAAAATTACTAAACATATTATTAATAAATACTACAATATTATATAAAAATACTCAAATAACACTGATACCACAAATAAACCAAGTAAGATATATCATCAGGTGGATGCTCACCACATGTCAATCTGAGTGGAATAGTCTGTGCTGCCCAATAGGATGTCAGGGGGGCGGTACCAGAGCGTCACCACCTCATTGGAGTAGGTCTTGGTGGGAATCGACTTTGCTCGTGCCAGACCTGAAGACCACACAAAAAGCCAATTTAAAAGCAGTTTGGCCAGTTTCAGCAAGCTTTGTAGATCTTCACAACATATTACACATCAACTCCACATAAGCCCTGCCAGAAGTTTAGTACACTAGATTCTTTTAGCCAAAGCAACGGCACATTTACAGTACAATTATTACAGAGACAATGCAACTAGAGTAACTTGAGGATACGCTTTTCAAGTAGGTAAGTGGGCAGCTGGCTTTCATTAACCTCTAGGCTACACCACCCACACCATGAGAAAATAGTGAGAGTAAAGATGAGTGTTGTACTTAAAAGTAAAGATGAGGTTTGTATGTTACAGACCGAAATCAGCCAGCTTTAGCTCCCCGCGGTCGTTGATCAGAAGATTTTGGGGCTTGAGGTCTCGGTGAAGGACTTTACGTCTGTGACAGTAGTTCAGACCTCGCAACAGCTGAAACAGGAACAGCTGAGATGGAAAAAACACACAGGTGAATAAGAACACTGTATATGATTGCAATGTGGAGCAGAACGATTATGAGAAACAGAAAATGAAAGACATTTGTCAAAGATGCCTTACCTTGACATTGTGCATATGAATGCAGTTTCCACAGTCATCTAGGTACTGTTTCAGGTCTTTATCCTAGGAGATAAAGGAAGTCATCAAACTAATAGATAAATAACAAAACTTATATTATATAAAACTTATGTAACTTATATAAAACGTATATTCTCGTGAGCAAGGATTCACTAACTTTTTTTTTGTAGCCAAACCCTCTAAAAGTTTTTATTAAGATTTACTTAATATTTTTTAAATTAACAATTAACAACACATTCACATGTTCTCAGATGTTGGTTAATTGTTACATGACATGCAGGTCAACAAAAAAATATTTATTTATTTAGATGTTTAAATGTTTTATTTTAATAGTTTTTTTATTTAAAAAATATTTATTTGAATTCTAAATTGAATGATTTATTTATTAGCTTTTCATTTAGCTTTGACATTGTCGTCAATTTAAGATCCCTGTTTTAGTGCCACATAAATCTGCTCTATAACTTAATTTTAAGCTATTATGTCGATAGATATGCCATCCATAAATAATTTCAATTTAATTAACTACATTTGTTTGGACAAGAGCAATTTGACTGTACTTTACTTCAAATTATGAGCAGTATGCAACTTGGCAATCTACGGTTTCCAAATAGCTTCTCCATTGTTGGTGTGTGGATGACTGCGTGTGAGATCATAAGTACAGTTAAAAAGTGTACAGAGTGCAGTGAAATACTGCACATGTGAGTGACTCACCAAGTACTCGAACACAAGTGTAAGAGACTTCTGAGTGTGGATGATGTCATGAAGAGTCACAATATTGGCGTGTTTCAGGTCCTTCAGCAGAGACACTACAGAGACACAGAAAGAGACAGATTATTCCTCAAACACGTGACCTCTGGTACTCCACACGCCTTTATGAATATTCACTAAATGACAAGTACAAATGACAAGCTAGACGAAGTTAGCCTGAAGCAAACATTACTGCAAAAATAGTTGCGAAATATCTTTTTTTTTTCCCCAAATGAAATTGACCTTAAACACACTTTTGCTACTATACCTTTAAAATTTTGATATGTAAATTATCTTAGTTATGGTTTGCAGTTTAGTTTCCATAAATTGTCAGGGTGGGCTGGGGAGGAAGTGGACCCTGTTTTCCATATTATAAAACCCTTTTAACCATCTGAATTACCCTGTAACAAAAGCCACTGATAGAGATTTAGAGATTAACTGCCTAATTTAGAACATCCCAAATAGTCTGTCATTGTGCAAGCATGTGGGAAATTTGGGGCAGTAGTTTGGTGATCTAATTTTAGTGCTGATCCACTACGGCATGCTTGTAACTCACCTTCTCTAATGGCAGTGCATGGAGCTCCTTCCTCGTGCTCCAAACGGATTTCCTTCAGAGCCACCAGATTATCCGTCAATTTGCTGCGGCCCTTATATACTGTAGCGTAGGTGCCCTGAGAAAGAAAAAGATGACAATGCACAGTAACATGACTATGGTGCTTTAAAATGCTGTTTTGGATCAGAGCTACTATCTAAAAATCGCCTGTGAAGTTACCTCTCCTAGTTTATCCAGTTTCACGTATGTCTCCAACTTCCCAAATCCGATCTCAGACTGCAAACACACAAAGACAAAAACTATGTCACAACATGGTCCTAAAAGGCAACGCTTAACACGGGGATACAGGGCAGAAAATTTCAAAGGCATTCATGTGAACTCATTAGAATACACCCAAATCACACTGCTCCCGTTTCAGACGGCTGGGCTGGTCGCAGAGGTTTATATAACACACAGAGACAACATGAGCTAAAATATCCCTCCCCAAAATAAATTGGGAACAACTGAAGTGTAACAAATGAAGTGTTTAAACGCATCACAGATCAAGCGTGTGTCAACAGCACTGAATAAACATCACGGTCTGGGTTTATAGCATAGACTGTATAAAAACATGGACGTAGTGTCCGTGACGTCACCCGTAGATTTCCAAAGAGCGTTTTTGAAGCTCAAAAGTGGGCGGAGGCGGCCATCGCCATCTTGGCAGCGCGTCACCGCGCGTCACTCCCGGATAATCGAAAATGGGCAAAGAGGTGGGAGCAGGTTGCTGAAGCCTAGCACCTAGCTCGACGGTGGTGACAGCAATGGCAATCCACCAGTCACTCAAGTGGTCATGCCCTTAATTATGCAGAACTTTAAGGCTTTATATAATTTAAACGGATGAGTTATAAAACAATTCACCCCCCTCACAGTTGTCATGAAGGGCAAAATTAGCTATATAGACCAAAATCATTTTTTTGAACCAGGCTGTAAACATGTTTTTTTCTGCTGTAAAGTTGGGCATTTTAACATGGGGAGTCTATAGGATTGACTCCCTTTTGCAGCCAGCCTCTAGCGGCCAGTTGATGAATTACAGTTTAAGTCACTTCCTTGTTGGCTTTACAAGAGAGAGCGGGAGGTTGCGGCTTGGTTTATAGCTCATATCAAGGGCAGCTGAACTTGTAGTATATCATAATTAATTAAAAACATGATTTTGACATTCTGTCAAGAATACTATTCAGAACATGTCCGGATCATATCTCGCCCCAATATAACTTATTTAGGACTCTATTTTGCATTGTGACTTTATTTACACAAAAATTCAATTATTCCCCTTTCAAATTCTCAGTAACTTAATGTGGAGGAAAAAATCAGGATATCCAAAATAATCATATATGATTTTATTAAGCAAGGACTAATTGCCTAATCTTTCTTGTACTGAATTTAATTTGTTGATTTAAAATGTTGTATTTTGTATTGCTGTCTATATGTGCTTATACAGTATCTATACGTGCTTAATTGTCATGAATAACAATGTTATAATATAGAATAAAGTATAAATGCAAAAAAAAAAAAAAATAATAATAATAATTGTATAATAAATAATAAAACTAGGCTTCAATTTCTTTATGCAAAATAGAGTTGGTGTGTTCCCTTTTTATTTTTGGGTTGAAATATGACCTGGCCATTTCTTTGTGAGGCTCACTCATTTTCCTGTGACACTGCGTGACACTAATATTTTGAGAATGGTTTTAGCAGCGAGACACACCGTTAAAGTTTGTCTTGTCTATGCGTTCACAACGATTTCAAAGCACTGATAATGTGACGCTGGAACAAACAAGACAAGTGAAGGAGAAGAGAAAAGACTCAAAGACTCAAAGAGAGAGAGTGACAGAGAATGAAAGATCGAGCAAAAGAACTGGTTGCAAAAGAAAACAAAGACAGAAAAAGGAGGGCATGAGTCTAAAAGTGCAAGTCCAAATTAAAATATGATAAATAAATAACTTTATATGATTTTATGCCAGCATCAAAGGCTATATTTATGGCAAACTCAAGAAAAAAAAAAAGCCTTAATAAAAGTAATTGTAATAATAATAATACAATAATACAAGAACAATAATTTAATAATACTGTTTCATAATTAATAATATTATTATTATAATAATTTTTTTTTACAAACAAAAATAAAATTAGATAAAAAAATAATGATATACAATCTTTCAATTTGATATTTGAAAAAAAAAAAAAATCAAATATTTTCTTAGAGGAAACTTTTTTTTTTTTTTAATTGCC